ATTTTTAATAGCTTTTATTGATGAAGACGAGCCATTAACTAAGGAACTCGGACTCGGGATATCAATGAGTCAGCTCGAATACTGCTACTTGGCTGCAGATGTGGGATATACTCTTTAACGGCACTTAAGCAGGTCGTAAAATTCGTTGCGGAAGTTTCCATTCTTCAAATATAAGCTGTGCTGTTCACTGTCAGCACAGGAAATGCAGTTAACACTGTGACATGGTAGATCATAAAAAGCATTGAATTCTCAATTTGGCTCACACAGAAATAAGATGAGACTAATTTCTCCACTATAAGTATTACTAGGAATAGGAACAATAAATTTAAGATTTCATTACAAAAAGGACTCAAAGCAAAAAAAAAAAAAGAAATAATAATAATAAAAATTATAGATTAATCCAGGGCATAACTATAGCTGAAAGAATACTACCCTGAATTGTGTTGAAGAAAACGAAAGTATGTATTTAAAGAATAGTCTTATTAAGATTTTGAAGGTCAAGCATTGAATCATAAATACGACTTAAAGTAGATAAAACATGAGTCTGAAACTGAAACATTTATATTCGAATCATTGGGAAGCCGTTTTCCCAATAACTTACAACCATCTAGAAAAACAAATACAAAGTAAACAACTTTAACCGAAGTTCAACGTTGTAGTTAAAAACGCACCCGAATAGCGCTAACTAATAATTAACGATACTTAAATTGCATTATTTTAATTTCGGCAATAACGATTTTTGCATTCTTTGCATTCGCTTGCCGAGAGCCGGTCGTTAACTTGCATAGCGAAAACTGCGCAAAAGCCAATTGCAAATGCTTAAATTTAATTTGGTGAAGAATGCAAGTTTTATGAGAATTTTTGGACTTTTATACCCCAAATATAAGTGCCTCACAACAGCGCTTTGTAATTGCCAACACGGCTCTAAGACAATGCATATTGTAAATATTTAATAACTTTACCTTTGACAATTATGCTGACAGTTTAGTCGAGTCCGCACTGCGAGTCGAACGCAGGCTAAAAAGGTGTGCTTAAAGTTTAAAACTGAAAGTGAAATATCTTAAATTTCGTAGTCGATGCGTTGTGAGGTAATGTTGGAGTTTTCTGTACATACTTCAAAGATATTTCATTACATCGTGTTAGTAAGAGAAACGACCAGGATCATAACATAATCTTCTAATTGTACAATTTTCGTATTCCGAATACTCTCACATATTTTTCAAGTAAGATTCACTTTTTGAATTTAGGTGCCCAGCCTGATTTTTTTTCGTTTATGAATACAATTATTCTTACAATTATTTCTATTTACTACACAATTTTTTTATTTTATAGACATTTTGTTGCACATTTTTTATAAACGTAATTCTTTAAAATAAGTCCGTTAGAATGATGATTGAGGAAATGTTACTTACATCAGTTCAAAATCGAAGTACGGGCGTACATAGCCAACTTTTAGCCAAATTTTTCTTAGCTCAAAAACCAAACCGAAACAAGAGAATAAAGTCCATGTATTTGCCTATAATTTTCGATTATACATAAAAACAAAATTTCCACAAAAACATTTGATTTTAACTAAATTAGACAACATTTTTTAGTGACCAACTGAGTCCATCGGTCGGTCCATGTTCTTGAGATATCAGTCTGAGTTTTTGCAAACGTTCTTTTTTCCCCTAAGACATGAGCAGCTTCATTTGTTGGAGCCGCCTATATCGGAACCCTAAAGGATATAGCTGAAGCCTTTGTATGGACATTTTTTCATTTGACAAGATATCTTCAATTCGGAAATAATTATATTCTAAAACTAGGCCACAATCTCTCAAAAAAGTGTTCAGAACGGACCATTACTATATATAGCTGAGGTAAAAACTGGTTGAGAAAAGTCACGTCCTTGTGTAGGAAACTTATTTATTTAACAAGATTTGGTTTGGAGCACTTTTGAAGATAATACCACAATACCCGAACATATTGGTTAAATTGATTTATTTCGTGATCCCGGTCGGAACTGAAATACGGGGAACTTAACAACCTTTTCTCTTCATAAATGATATTTAATGGGTTTTAAGGCCTAACATATAAGATAATTAAATCGTTTTTTTTGTGAATGCTGGAGTTGTTTAACTTCTTAATGCAACATATAATCGACGTTCAGTACCTTTAAACGAAATGAATTTGTAAGAATGCCTAATACTCGGTTGAAACTGAACTTAATCTTTTTTACCTCACTTGCATTTTTTTCGAATTTTTTACATTCGCTAACCGTCAACCAGGGTATAAATATCAAATAAAGAATTCAGTTCACGCATGCACATTATTTTGCTTATTTTTTTCAAGTTATTCATTTATTTAAACTCCAACTTCTTTAACGCGTTTTTTAAATGAAAACCAATTCAATAATAAATTGCCGAAGGCCACTAGCGATCGTTTAACATTGCGTTAGTGCATCTTTTGCTATACAAATAAAATAAGTTTTATCGTACGCAATTACCAATGCAGCTTTTTTGACATATTAGAACTGCAGAAAACTGCAGCGAAACTTATATTGCGCAGGCGCATGGTCAGTCCACAAAATTATGACAATGCGGTGATAGTAAAAATTTCTACATTATTTGCGTAAATCAGCGCAAGCCAACGATTAGTTATTAATAACGAACTGAGTACAACCATTTACATATGAGCTGGAGGTATGAGTGCTCTTGTGCAAGAGCGCCCCACCCGCGAGCCTGCTTGGATTGGCAATAAATAAAATAAAGCGTGCAAACAAGTTAGACTGCCACAGTCACCGTTGCTGTTGCTGCCGCCGTTTTGCAAATTAGGCATTGCAGCAGTTGCTACGTGCGCAAAGTGCACTCCACGGCGTATGAGTGTGCGCGTGTGCATTCGGCATTAAGGCATGACGCCGCTGTGGACCACAATGAGCATGCTGTCTACACTATTTGCGATTGCCAATTTGTAATGGTACGTCAAGTCAGTTTTGGTCGTTGCATTTTTTATGCATTTAGCGCCTTCTGCATTTGTTGTTGCCAAGCAAGCTAATGTAAATGTAAATAAAAATGTTGGCGCTTCTTCTCTCTGGCACTGCCTTATTGGTAAGCTCATATGATATTTGCTGATTCTAAATGGTGGCTGTGGCGGATGCGTTGACGCGTGCCATGGCGTACATTGATCAGTCAAGACTATAAAATGCATTTGCAGTGCACTGCAAAAATTATTCTTGTCTACCTTCGAGCGAGCAAGACGTGCAATTACCGCATTCAATCGGTAGCGCTAAAAAGTTTCGAATACAAAAATTCGTACAAAATCGTTTAACATTATCCGTGACATTTTTGTTTCGTGTTATAAGCTTAACTTATTCTTTGCCAATATGAAATTGGTAAGTGAAAGTGTATGTGAAGGACATAAATTCAATTGCAAGGACAATAGTTGCCTTGAGCAACTGTTTACAGCTGTTGTTAATGTGCGCCTTTTTTCCTCTCCTCAAATAGATGCTAGTCTTGAGTGTTTTGTGCCTGCTCGGATGCAGTTTGGCTGCCCCACAAGCTCCTGTCGAGATCTTAGAACAGGAAGTGGATAATATCGGCATCAATGGTTATAAGTTCAGGTGAGTTAAATCCGATTTACGAGTTCTAAGCTTGGTGTACGGAGATCGGTTTGTAAAGTGCAAGGATAAAGGAATTCTCCATCTGTTTATATGGTTACTTCATTTTACTTAGTTTGACATAATCCAAGTTTAATAAGGCCATAAGCACAGAGAATCAACGGCAATAAATTCAAGTACTAACGACATTATCGGAAAAGGGATAGGACTTTGTATAAACTCCCGAATTACTGGCGTTTTCGCTTCTTTTCACTGAAATTTGCTCAGTGCTCCTTCAAAAGTTTGAAAAGCACTTCACTCCTGAAAATGATTAAGTTAAGCTATGAAGGCTCCAAGCAATAAATGAAGGTTCGCATTTTAGGGACACACACACTCGGGATCCGTCAGAGATAGCTACCATACAATCTGATCGAGTGAAACTAAGTTCTAGCATAGAAAACTGTTTTATTTGACGGGATATCTTTAATTCAATCCAGCATATTCATAAAATTTGGCGCAGATTATTGTCCAAGGTAACGTTCAATATCCAAAAAAATTGTTCAGATAGGATCACTCTAGTATGTAGCTTTTTTACCCTTGTAGGGTAGCCGAAATTAACGTATTTTTTTGCTTCTAATTGTTTAATATAATTTGAAAAGACCCTAGTTTCGGTTTAAAAACCACACATTACACCATATATATGTATTGTTTCTTAATTGAGCTTGAACCCCGTCTAATATATATATGAATTCTCTATTTTGCTTATTTATTGACTCCACTATTATTAAAAACTCTAAGTCTACCATATATATCATTTATAAACAAAAAACCAGGTTATATAAAAATATGTTTGTTCTACTCAAATTCAAATTTAGCTACAAACTGAGTGATGGTACAACTCGCACCGAAGAGGCTGTTCTCAACAATGCCGGCACCGACAATGAATCACTTTCTGTGCGCGGCAGCGTTTCCTGGGTGGCGCCCGATGGAATAACTTATACTATTAACTTTGTTGCTGATGAAAACGGCTTCCAACCCGAGGGTGCACACATACCGAAGTAAGCTGATGTCACAGCATCCACATTATAATATACGGCATGGAATGAAATCATAGTAAAACTCATTAATAAATAACACGGTAAAGTTGTGCATTCATAAGTGATTTATGAATGAAACACTTGCTGGTTGGAGAGGTTGTAAATACGTACAAGTTGTAGAATATGTTATGTGTGTGTGAAAATCTTATTAAATAAATAAATACAAAATTGTAACGGTCTCAGTCAGTGTCAAAAACAAGACTTTTATTTCAAAACGTTTTATATAATTTTTTGGTATTTTTTTGCCAACAATAGTAACAAATTTTACATTAAAACAAATAAATTTTTTATACTAACAACCTTCCTCGTTCTCAATCAATATTATGGACTTATGCTTTCGGTAAGTGATCGCCCAGCGGCTGGAAGCCATGCTCATCAGCTGTATAGCTCACGTTATAGGTGACGCCGTCATCGCCCACATATTTGTAGGAGCCCTTCACGGTGATTGCCTCACTGTCGGTTCCAACAATTTTTAGCTGACCTTCCTCTTCGTGTTGTGTGCCATCGCTTGTCTCGAAGCCGAATTCGTAGCTTTCTGGCACCACATCGGCGTCCTGGCGTACAATTTCCACCAGTTTCTCTACTGGTGCGGCTGTCACGGTATGTGCAACCAAAAGTACAACGAATGCCCTAAGGATACTCAATTTCATTTTTTGATTTTTATACTCTCGCAACAAAGTTGCTAAAGAGAGTATTATAGTTTTGTTCACATTTCGGTTGCTTGTAAGTCCTAAAACTAAAAGAGTCAGATATAGGGTTATATATACCAAAGTGATCAGGGTGACGAGTAGAGTTGAAATCCGGATGTCTGTCTGTCCGTCTGTCCGTCTGTCCATCCGTCCGTGCAAGCTGTAACTTGAGTAAAAATTGAGATATCATGATGAAACTTGGTACACGTATTTCTTGGCTCCATAAGAAGGTTAAGTTCGARGATGGGCAAAATCGGCCCACTGCCACGCCCACAAAATGGCGGAAACCGAAAACTTATAAAGTGTCATAACTAAGCCATAAATAAAGATATTAAAATGAAATTTGGCACAAAGGATCGTATTAGGGAGGGGCATATTTGGACGTGCTTTTTTTTGAAAAGTGGGCGTGGCCCCGACCCCTACTAACTTTTTTGTACATATCTCGAAAACTACTATAGCTATGTCAACCAAACTGTATAGAGTCGTTTCTTTTAGGCATTTCCATATTCAGTTCAAAAATGGAAATCGGATAATAACCACTCCCACCTCCCATACAAAGGTTATATTGAAAATCACTAAAAGTGCGTTAACCAACTTACAAAAAACGTCAGAAACACTAAGTTTTACGGAAGAAATGTCAGTCGGAAGCTGCATCCAGGATTTTTTTAAAAATTGAAAATGGGCGTGGCGTCGCCCACTTATGGACCAAAAACCATAACTCAGGAAGTACTCACCGATTTCAATGAAATTCTGTATATATTATTTTCTTAACACCCTGATGACATGTACCAAATATGGGTGAAATCGGTTCACAACCACGCCTGAAATCTCGATTATCACTTTATCATGCGAGAGTATAAAATGTTCGGTGACACCCGAACTTAGCCCTTCCTTACTTGTTTCTTTCATTTTAGTTGTTTTTGGAATAGATTTTTATATTTCTAACGCAGTTGTTTTAATAAATTCCAACTGTCAAATAGTGAGATACTTCGTGATGTTGTCCAGCTTTTTATATGAAAAAGCGGTAAATTTTGGCAAAGGTGTTAATTTCTCAAAAACTAACAAAATAAATTAGCGAAAACTAAATGTATGAGATGTTAACTTTAAAAAATAATTTGACTAATTACAACGTAAATAAACTGAACCAGCTAATGAGGGTTTAATGTGAAAACGAAAGCGAAAATCAAAGTGATAGTGAAATACTTTAGAGTAGGTGAAATAGGAGGGAGAGGAATACTTATAAGTTTTGCTTTTGGAAACTATTTCTAAATTATGTACACTTTTGTTTTCTAGAGTAATCATAAAGTTGTGTAATGGAAGAATTCTCCAGCTATGAAATCAAATTGGGAACACCACGAAATTACTAGCTTTTTCAGTGGCATCATAAAACTTTTTTACATAGATATCAATACCAATCTTTTTGTAGTATTGCTGCGAACAAAAAACAGTGAAACTTTGTTGATATTTTTAAAATTATTAACTTATTCTTCAAAATCTATGTCGTCTCCCTCAAAGTAATCCCACTTGTGCCAACATCTTTCCAACAATTGAAACCGTTGTGTTAATGCATGATGCGATTAACGTTTAATGTCTTCAAATTACTCAAAAGGGCTTTGATGTAGGGGACGTTTGAATTTGCTGAATAGCCAGAAGTACACAAAGCTGCAAGCATAATAAACGACACATAACACTCAAAAAGTATTCCTTGTTAACAGTTTGGCCGGTCGGAAGGTATTCGGAGATAATCGAAGAAAACTATCCACATAACATTGATTTTGCTTGTCTGTTTAAGGGTCGTAAGCATAGATTTAAGATTCTACGCCAGTAATAAAACGTTTTTTGGTAGTTGTAAATTATTGTTCCCCAGACGTTTAATTTTGGAACCCAATTCCATTTCGATGAATGGGTTTTTGTGCGAAATTTAAATTAAAATGTCTTAAGAGCTTTTCATCACAGTAATTTAATTAGTACTTTGCTTCAAAATTGGTTTCAGTAGACCTTAGAGAGTAGAGATACCTTCGGTTTTCTTAGCTTAGCTAAGTGGCTAGTAAAAGTTAATGACACTTAAAAAGTGAAAGAAAATGTCTCTGAGAGTTTTTTGAGCTGTTTACTTTCTATCGAGCTTTTTATGCTTTTCGAGAGCTTTCAACTTCCCCGTTAATGGTGCATAAAGTAGTTTGCCTACATTTAGGACTGTCATTCCGTCAGAAAACTTTACTTTCTTCAGTTGTAGTGCCTTAAGAAGATTCGAAGATATTAGCGAGAGTTCAACACACACAAAAAAGTAGTTTCGTTTTTGTTTAATTACAATTTGCTTCAAATACTGTGACGTCAATAATTGCATAATTTTTACAGTTCGATGACCAGCGGCTAAGATGGCAAACCATAATAAAATAAATTTACAGATGCTATCGTTAAAGCGCACGTGTATGTGCATAATTTTGTCACATGAAACGAAGTCTTTTATGTAAATTAAAATAAACAGGTTCCAAAACTCCTTTATAAGCAAAAAATAACGCTAGCATATTTTATGTTAATTTTAGTTAGAAAGACACACATACACAGCTTATGCAATGATTGGGCAGAACATATTTAGCCCAAAAGTGCAAAAACTAGTTTAGAATAAATTAAAATTATATTAACTTTTTATATTGTTTCTTGGCAAAGTGAAATGAATTGCAGAATCGTGTATAAAAGCGACAATCCGATCTAAAGCGATCATCACACAGTCATCTGATTCAGTAGTCTGCACAACCAGCAAACAAAAACTATCATCATGAAATTCGTTATTGTTTTCGTCGCTCTCTTCGCTCTCGCCTACGCTGCCCCAGCTGCTCCTGAAGCCGAAATCGTCGAATTGAGATCCGATGTCGACCCCGAGAAATACAGCTTCGCGTAAGTTATTAATACTGCGACAAAAGTTCTTATCTGTGAGACGTCGCAATGAGAATCAAATGGATTGAACTAGTCCTTTGGAAAGATTAAGAAAATAACCCATTCTCATCTGTGTTTTATAGCTTGAAGACCAGCGATGGTACATCAGTCTCTTATACACATCTAGATGTGTATAAGAGACAGGTTGCCCATGGTTCTTACTCTTTCGTCGCTGATGATGGTCAAACCTACACCGTCACCTATGTTGCTGATGAGAACGGTTTCCAACCTTCAGGTGCTCATTTGCCCGTTGCCCCTGAAGCTTAAGTGCGATAATCGTGAACTGAGTGTGGAACTGTTATTAGATTTTAGAATGAATGTTAAATAAAATTAAAAAAGTGAACAAGTCGAAAATAACTATTTGAATTAATTTTGTGTACTTTTCCGGTACCATTTCTCTTGAGGTACAGAATTATAAAAATGATTTTATGTACATATTTATAAATATTAGCTTATTCTATTTCTAGCCATATGTAATAATAATTTTTATATGAAAACGGAAATCGAATTTGGTGCGTTAATAATCTTTCAGGCTCTCTTTATGGCCAGAAATACTCCAACCATACAATTGTTTAGCATATCATAATTACCCAGTAAAGATGTTTAGCTTCAAATATTGTTATTCCTCTATATTATTTATCTCAAATCTAAAAGTGATATATATTATGAAGTCGAATTCCACAACCACCTCAGTCATGGACTGGGTTTGTTGTTATTTTAGGTTTATAAGTTATGCGTTAGTTGGAATTAATTAAAATTGAAGTGTATTTTCAGCATTGAAGTAGTAGTGCTGTCTCGGTTAATCTTCAGGTAGAGCTTTATAGATCTTACCTTTATTACCAGCTATACGATGTTTTAAATACAGAGATGAGTAGTTCTTTAAATATTGTTTCCAGATCGGATTAATCTTAGCAAGTTGCAGCTAAGCAAACCTGTTTCACAGCAAGAAATATACGTTTTCTCTTCCCCATTATAAGGGAATTTAAGTTCTCCGAAAAATGTATACAGCTGTCAAGGGGTTCTTGGTCTACTGTTTCACATTTATTTCACGAGATCTATTCTCGACGTGATTTAAGTTTTTTTAAGTTTAATGTGCGTGCAAATAATTGCAATAGAGAAGGGTTCACCGTTAATAGTGATAATTCAACTTTTCTATACTGTTTCTGTCGTACCATTGGCCTTTTGATCCAAAATGGCCTCACTCTAGAGTATTTCTTATCAGCGAAAATTCTCTAAGGATTAAAAACGGCGATTTGATCAGATACGAAGAAAACGAAGGAAGCGGATATTTTCCATCGAGCATGTCAATAAGGTTACAAGTAATAGGTTTTTTTCAAAGTTAATTTTAGATTCGGTTTATAGCCTGCAATTCACACGAATGGCTGTCGTTTAAACTCTGGAGTGTAAGAGCGAAGATTTGTATCATCAGTTATCGCAGTCTGGCTCATACACTCGTGTTTATTACGATTGAATGGTTCTAAATATTGTTCAGTTGAACTTGTTACTGTTTGTTGGTTTCTGTCGATTGAGAGCTTGTATGACCCATAATTTTCTTATGACCATCAAAAAGTGAGGAAAACCTCTTTATTCGGTTTTATTCGACTGCATCATCAAGTTCCTAAAAAGTTCAATGTAATTTTAATTGATCGTTGTTACGTCTCGACACTCGCCGTATAGACATTTATACCATCAATCTATCAAAATTAAAATATACTCAATAGTCATAAAAGGAAAGGAATAATACGCGATGTAGGCCATGATATAAATATATTATAACTACATGATCTATAGGAGAACAAATCGTAAACCACACAGCTAGCAAGTTTAATTGCGCAGATGCTGTCTGCATCGCGATGGCTCATGCGCAGAACGCAATGCTCGCGACAGACTGCAGCAGCACGACAGTGAACTGAAAATGGCGTTGTGAATCCTACTACATGAACGTTTGGGAGAGGGCAGCAACATAACAATGGCCGGCATGTACACAAAACAACGCATTTGTCCATTTTGCATGTACACAATTTCGTTATGGCCATACTAATACCTTGCACTTCAATGAAATTTTWATATTTTGTTCAAAGTGAAATTTTTAAGCAAAAAATAAGTAAATAGGTAAATTTGTTTGTTTTAAATTATCAAATGTTATTATACATGATGTAACAGAGCTATTTTATACTTTTTTGCTGGTATCGTGCTGAAGTATTTTTTATCGGTTGCACTGAACCTATAATACCCTTTACATGTAGCTTCCTTATAGCTTAAATATTTGTATCTTGATTTTTATTGATTTTTATTGGTCAGTTTTTTAGCTAAATTGGCAAATAAAAAAATATTTCATACAAGAATTAGACGCAGCTGTAAGTTAGAGTCGTCTGTTTTGGATTCCAACAACAGCTTTCTGTCGAGAAGAGGACCTATGAAATTGAAGTTCGTTATTTGTAAAACTGAGGGAGTACTATATACGTAAACTACTGACAGTCAGACGGACAGACGGATGGACGGACATGTCTAAATCTACTCAACTCTTCACGGTATCCATTTTTATATACATTTTATGCGGTCCCAACGATGAAACGTCTTTTTCGAATATTACCTGAAAGTTCTCCACAGACGTTATTGCATTTAGTTTGCTTTTGCTCTTTCTTATTCGCTACCTTTTAATGCATTTATATACCACACATTCAGAAGAAATTAAACAAAAATCTATTCATAAAATGTCTTTAACAATTCTCTTTTAGTAAAACGAGTTTTTTCTTCATTTGCCAGCTTTCAACAAATGGTTAATCAAATTTAAGAATCAATATTTGTTTTCTTTTTGTCTCTACATACTTCTTTTGGCATTGCAGATCCACTCTGCTAATCGCAGAATTTTTGAATAAAAGCACGCAGAGATTTTGTCAACTAACACAGTTAGTAGTCTGATTCCGTAGCCTGCACAACCAGCAAACAAACAATTACCAACATGAAATTCGTCATTGTTTTCGTCGCTCTCTTCGCTCTCGCCTATGCTGCCCCAGCTGCTCCTGAAGCCGAAATCGTTGAATTGAGATCCGATGTCGACCCCGAGAAATACAGCTTCGCGTAAGTTATTAATACTGCGACAAAAGTCCTTATCTGCGAGACATCGCAATGAGAATCAAATGGATTGAACTAGTCCTTTGGAAAGATTAAGAAAATAACCCATTCTCATCTGTGTTTTATAGCTTGAAGACCAGCGATGGTACATCAAAGGATGAAGAAGGTCATTTGGTCAATGTTGGTGCTGACGATGAACACATTGTTGCCCATGGTTCTTACTCTTTCGTCGCTGATGATGGTCAAACCTACACCGTCACCTATGTTGCTGATGAAAACGGTTTCCAACCACAAGGTGCCCATTTGCCCGTTGCCCCTGAGGCATAAGCCAACTTCTTTTAGCGAAGTGTATTTCCTTGGGACTGTTGTTAGCGTTTAGGTGTGATGTTGAAATAAAAAAGATATTACTTAAAAATCCAAAATTTTTCTCTTTTCCTGGAATGCAGTTGCTATGTATCATTCTGATTAAATTTAACTTTAGAGGAGTTTTTTTTTTGAACCAACGTGTTACACATTACTATTATTTAAAAATTGCTTCGTTTTCATTATTGTTAGATAAACATAGCCATAGAGTACTCTTACTCCCCTCACCTTGTAGCAATGAACTGTTATTGGGTATATCCCGTATTATATGTAATTACCATATTTGTATATGTGGAAACGAGAGAACTTTTAAGCAGCATTCATATTTGACTCATTGATGGTAACAAATATTGAGTAGAATCTTAAGTATTATTTATTTAACATTTTTGAATATTCAAATGTTTGTTTTTTTATTGAAATGTTTGTTTTTTAAACGCTATCATAATATCTGTGTTACGAATCGAACGTCATTTTAGTTTGATTTAGATTCCATTGAAAAATATAGTGTTCACATAGTAAACACCTCATCGATTATGATTTTATGATCGACTTTAAATAAATGCTAATATTTGGCTTATAATTTTCTATTCCACTTTTGAAATCATTGATCGTGTATATAAGCCGTTTTTAGTGCCGATGAAACGCAAACTCGTCGCAATGTCATATACAAAGAATATATAGTATAAATAGTACTAGTCTAAATACAATAGCATTCATTGTGCTATCAGATGAAACCCAATAAATTGTCTAAGTCTCTTTCAACCAAAGCTGCCAATTCTACCGAACTCGAATATTGAGAGCCTTGGACTCTATCCCGAATTCTTCAGCTGAGGATTGAGTATTGGGTACCAGTGTTACATCATCCTCTGGCCTTGTTCCGAAGGTTAGAGGGGTAAGTGGCCTGTTTTGTCTCTTGCCATGCTACTTAATTACTTCATTCCGAAAAGTCCAATTGCCCACTATTCAAGAACTGATATGTCCCCTAACGATCATTGCTATAGAATAGTCCGTCTTAAACTACTAAAACTATTTTATAATTTGTTTGAAGAAAAAATCGAACGGGATAATAGCATATAATTCAAAAAGACATCGTTATTTATGAATTTTTCAAATAATTTTAACTTAAACAAGTAAGAGCTAAGTTCGAGTGCAACAGAACATTTTATATTCTTGCAAATTCCAAGGAAAAATCGAAGCCACAGAAATACCTTAAGTCAGTGTTAAGTGTAAAACGTCAAGAAGAGGATCGGAATCTAAGCAATTTTAGAGTTTAGGGGAATGTTGGGTCACGTTTTGATTTCGGTTAAAAAGTCACATAAAAGTTATTTTTTCTGAAAATTCCAAAGCATGGATTTGTAGTGCGAGTCGTAACCTTCCTTTTGATAACATTGGTTTGATAAAATTCTACAAAAATTTAAAAGTTATAGCCATTGTCGCAAAAAACCTGATTTTGCGATTTTGAATTCTGTAAATCGATTAAAACATGATTGTTACCGATAAAAAACGTTTATTTATCAATGAAAAATAGGAATTGGCGAAAAAAATTATTCCGACTCGCAGTGGATGCAGGTGTAAGTGTTCGGGTTCGGTCCCCGATCACAAACGATGCAATGGACCGTGTTTTGACGATTCTCGTGCTTCGGCATCTTTTTCTTGCAAATCGTGCAAAAATCGAAGTCCTCTTCGATGTCGGTTTCGGTCGGAGACGGGCTTCTTTTCCGTGGCGTCTTCGATTTGCCACGGCTGCCTTCGTCAATTTTTGCCGCTTTTTTTCGGCCTTGTSACGCAGATCTGCGACAACCTCAGGCGATGTCAAAATCGTTGACTCCATTGTCTTGCGGCCATGTTTTGA